TGCTTCAATCAAAAGACATAGGGTATCAGGATGGATAAAAAAAACCAAGATCCATCTATTTGCTGTCTATAAGTGACTATTTTAGATCTGAGGACACCTTCAGATTGAAAGTAACGGGTTGGAGAAATACCTATCATGCTACTGGAAGTCAAAAAAAAGCTGGAGTAGCCATAGTTATAGCGGACAAACTGGACTTTAAAGTAAAGGCAGTAACAAGGAATGAAGGACATTATATAATAATTACAGAGTCTATCCATCAGGAAGAGCTAACAATCATAAATATCTCTGCACTGAATTCGGGAGCAGTCATTACATTAAACAATCACAAACAGAAACAATCTTATGGATAACAATATGCTAATAGCAGAGGACTTGAATAATCCACTTACAGCAATGGATAGATCAATTGGACAGAAAATCACTAAAGAAACAATGGCCCTGAATGACACATTGGACCAGATGGACTTGACAGACATATATAAAACTCTACGTCTGAAGCTACGGAATTCACTTTCTTCTCAAGTGCACATGGTACATTCTCCAAGATAGATTACATACTGGGTCATAAAGCAGCCTTCAATAAATATAAAAGAACTGAGATCATACTGTGCACACTTTTGATCTCAATGCTATGAAACTGGAGATCAATCACAGGAAAAGTCTGGAAAACCTACAGAAACATGGAGGTTAAACAACACCTTACTAAATAACAAATGGGTCAACCAGGCAATTAGAGAAGAAATTAAAAAACATATGGAAACATGGAGTGCCTGGGCAGTTCAGTGGGCTAACTGGCCAACTTCAGCTCAGGTCAAAATCTCACTGTTCGTGAGTTCCAATCCTGCATTGGGTTCTGTGTTGACAGCTCAGAGCCTAGAGCCTGCTTGTGATTCGGTGTCTCCCTCTCTCTCTGCCCCTCCCCAACTCACTGTCTCCCTCTCTCTCTCTCTCTCTCTCAAAATAAGTAAATAAATAAACATTAAAAATATCAGATTACATTAGAAACAAACTTTAAAAAAATGAAATAAAACAAAAATATATGAAAACAAATAAAAATGAAAATACTAAAATCCACACCGTTTGGGATGCAGCAAAGTCAGTCCTAAGAGGAAACTACATTGGAATTCAGGCCTATTTCAAGAAATTAGAAAAGGCGCAAATACAAAATCTAACAGTACACCACAAGGAACTACAAGCAAAGCAGCAAGAACACCCCAAACCCAGCAGAAGAGTAATAATAAAGATCAGGTCATAAATAAATAATATAGAATCCAAAAAACAGTTAAACAGATCAATGAAATCAAGACTTGATTTTTTGAATAAATAAAATTGACAAACCTCTACCCAGGCTTCTCAAAAAGAAAAGAGAGAGCACCCAAATAGACAAAATCACGAAAGAAAATGAATTTATTACAACCAATCTCTCAGAAATACAAGCAATTATCAGGGAATACCATGAAAAATTAGATACCAACAAACTGGACAACCTAGAAGAAATGGACAATTCCTAAACACACACACTACCAAAATTCAAATGGAAAGAGATAGAAAATCTGAACAGACCCATAACTAGTGAAGAAATTGAATCAGTTATCAAAAATCTCCCAACAAATAAGAACCCTGAGGCAGATGGCTTCCCTGGGGAATTCTACCAGACATTTAAATCAAAGTTAATACCCATTCATCTCAAATTCGTCCAAAAAATAGAAATGGAAGGAAAACTTTCGTACTCATTCTACAAAGCCAGCATTACTTTGATTCCCAAGCCAGATGGAGACCTAGCAACAACAACAACAACAACAACAACAAAAAAGAAAGAAAAGAAAAAGAAAAAAAGAAAAGAACTACAGGCCACTATCCCTGATGAATACAGATGCAGAAATCCTCAACAAGATACTAGCAAATCTAATTCAACCGCATATGAAAAGAATTATTCACCATGATCAAGTTGGATTCATTCCTGGGCTAAAGGGCTGGTTCAATATTCGCAAATAAATGTGATACATCACATTAACAAAAGAAAAGATAAAAACCATATGATCCTGTCGATAGATGCAGAAAAAGCTTTTGACAAAATACAGCATCCTTTCCTAATAAAGACCCTGGAGAAAGTCGGGATAGAAGGAACCTACTTAAACATCATAAAAGCCATTTATGAAAAGCCCATCATCCTCAACGGTGAAAAACTGAGATTTTCCTCTGAGATCAGGAACACGACAGGGGTTTCCACTCTCATGACTGTTGTTTAACATAGTGCTGGAAGTCCTAGCATCAGCCATCAGACAACAAAAGGAAATAAAAGGCATAAGAATTGGCAAAGATGAAGTCAAACTTTCATTTTTCCCAGATGACATGATACTCTACGTGGAAAACCTGACAGATGCTACCAAAAGTCTGCTAGAACTGACACATGAATTGAATAAAGTTGCAGGGTACAAAACCAATGTAGAGAAATCAGTGGCATTCTTATATACCAATAATGAAACAACAGAAAGAGAAATAAAAAAACTGATCCCATTCACAATTGCACAAAAAAACCATAAAATACCTAGGAATAAACCTAACCAAAGTTGTAAAAATCTGTAGGCTGAAAACTGTAGAAAACTTATGAAGCAAATTGAGGAAGACACAAAGAAATGGAAAAACATACCTTGCTCATGGATCAGAAGAAAAAATATTGTTAAAATGTGATTACTACCCAAAGCCATCTACACATTCAGTGCAATCCCAATCAAAATAGCACCAGCATTCTTCTTAAAACTAGAATTAAAATTGTATGAAACTACAAAACACCCCAAATAGCCAAAGTAATATTGAAGAAAACCAAAATGGGAGGCATCACAATCCCAGAATTTAGCCTCTATTACAAAGCTGTAATCATCCAGACAGTATGATATTGGCACAACAGACACATAGACCAATAGAATAGAGAACCCAGAATTGGACCCACAAATGTATGGCAAATTAATCTTTGACAAAGCAGGAAAGAGTATCCAATGAGAAAAAAAGCCTTTTTAACAGATGGTGCTGGGAGAACTGGACAGCAATGTGCAAAAGAATGAAACTAGACCACTTTCTTACACCATACACAAAAATAAACTCAAAATGGTTGAAGGACCTGAATGTGAGACAGGAAACATCAAAACCCTGGAGAGAAAGCAGGAAACAACCTCCTTGACCTCAGCCGCAGCCATTTCTTCCTCGACACATTTCCAAAGGCAAGGGAATTAAAAGCAAAAATGAACTATTGGGACCTCATCAACATAAAAAGCTTCTGCACGTCAAAGGAAACAATAAAACTAATAGGCAACTGACAGAATGGGAAGATAGTTGCAAATGACATGTCAGATAAAGGGCTAGTATCCAAAATCTATGAAGAACTCCCCAAACTCCACACACGAAAAAGACAATTAATCCAGTGAAGAAATAGGCAGAAGACATGAACAGACACTTCTCCAAAGAGGACATCCAGATGGCCAACGGACACATGAAACGATGCTCAGCATCCCTCCTCATCAGGGAAATACAAATCAAAACCACACTGAGATACCACCTCACGCCAGTCAGAGTGGCTAAAATGAGCACATCAGAGAACTCTAGATGCTGGCGAGGATGTGGAGAAACGGGCACCCTCCTGCACTGTTGGTGGGAATGTAAACTGGTACAGACCCTCTGGAACAGTGTGGAGGTTCCTCAAAAAATTAATAGAACTCCCCTGTGACCTAGCAATAGCACTGCTAGGAATTTACCCAAGGGATACAGGAGTGCTGATGCATAGGGGCACATGTACCCCGAATGTTCATAGCAGCACTCTCCACAATAGCCAAATCATGGAAATAGCCTAAATGTCCATCAATTGACGAATGGATCAAGATGTGGTTTATCTATACAATGGAATACTCCATGGCAATGAGAAAGAATGAAATCTGGCCATTTGTAGCAACGTGGATGGAACTCGAAGGTGTTATGTTAAGTGAAATAAGTCAGGCAGAGAAAGACAGAAACCATATGTTTTTACTTATAAGTGGAACAGGAGAAACTTAACAGAGGACCCTGGAGAAGGGAAAGGGAAAAAAATAGTTGGGGAGAGGGAGGGAGGCAAACTACAAGAGACTCTTAAATACTTATAACTGAGGGTTGATGGGAGTGGGGGAGGAGGGGGGTGATGGGCATGGAGGACGGCACTTGGTCTGAGCACTGGGTGTTATATGGATACCAACTTGACAAAGTATATTCAAAAAAATCCTAGGGAAGAAGCAGCATAAGACTGTAGGATGAAATGAAAATTCATCATGATTTGAGCATCTTTGTTATTGGCCTAAAGTAGAAGCATAATAAAAACTGTTTAAAGCATAAACAATTTGTATATACAATTTTACCCCACTTTGGGGAAGAGTTAGCTATCCCCTTTCTGGTTGTGTGAAGATTTCATTTCACTCACATAACTGACCTTTCCTCCTTCTAACTATTGCTGTAATGAAGACACATCACTGTTTTACTGCACTACCACCTCTTTATCTTTAAAGACCAATTGGCGAGTTATCTTATTTATAACATCCAAGATTTTATTTTAATACAGGGAGAAAAATGATCTTCTGAACACCTATTTCATGGTAACTTACATCAATGTTATAACCACAAATAGCATCTGAATTAGTTTTCCTTTATATATTATGTGTCATGTCCTTCATCTTCCATAGTAAATTACAGGAGTCACACCTAGGGAGGACATGTCATACCTTTGATGCAGAAACAATCAGCCACATAATTTCTGAAGGAATGAATTTCAGAAGGAAATTGAATAAAAATACATTAATATTTAGTAATCATGTCAGGATGGATTTGAAGGGGAGAGAACCATTTCTTAACTCTTAAAAATGTTTAATTTTTGAGAGATAGAGAGACAAACAGAGTGCTAGTGGGGAGATAAAGAGTGAGAGGGAGACACGGAATCTGAAGCAACCTCCAGGGTCTGAGCATGAAGCCTGACATGGGGCTTGAATTCATGACCTGGGAGATCATGACCTGAGCCGAAGTTAGACACAACAAACTGATCCACCAAGGTCTCCCAAAAAAACTCAGAATGAAATTAGTTATATTTATGCAATAATTCATCCACTTAATCTTTTGAAGCATAATACCATATACATTTTGAAAAGTGTTTAACTTTGTATTATTCCTTATAATAAATATTTTGATGCAATATCTGAATAGTGACTGACATACTGCTCTTTCTCTGACTTTTGTGATGACTTTTGATGTTCAATTAAATACTTTTCTAAGTATTTATAGCTTTCAAATTACTTTTATAGACTCCCTGGTATCTCCTAAAGTGTACATTAAATATGAAGACTTTCCTTATTTTGTTTGTAGGGCTTATATCTAGCGTGCACGTTGAAATATTAAGGATTGAGTTCTGGTTAAAGGCTGTGCAACTTTCTCTGTAATTTAGGGTTTTGATCCTGAAAGACAATAAGGATACTGACCAAGTTGTGAGTTTCAGCTAATATGCTGGGCACATTCTTTCCTTTGTATGTTTCTCCTCAGTCTGAAATCTGTGATACTGAGTAAAGGTTGAGCAGTCCTAAAAATTTTACCACATTCTATACATTTTTCAGTCTTTTCCTCCAGTATAAATTCTTTGATACAGAATGAAGCTTAACCTGGAATAAAGGTATTCCCACATTCCTTAGATTGGTAAGGTTTCTCTCAAGCATCAATTCTGTGCCATTGAATAAGATTCCGGTGTTGGGTAAAGATCTTCCCACATTCTTCACATTGGTTTCTCTCCAGTATGACTTCTGTAGTGCTCACTGAGGTTTGAGTACTGCCTAAAGGCTTTGCCACATTGTTGACATTGATAAGGTGTCTCTCCAGTATGGATTTTCTGATGTTGAATAAGGGTTGACTGCTGTCTAAAGACCTTGCCACATTCTTTACATTCGTAAGGTTTCTCTCCAGTGTGGATTCTCTGATGTATAATAAGGGGTGAGGACTGGGTAAAGGCCTTGCCACATTCTTTACATTCGTAAGGTTTCTCTCCAGTGTGAATTCTCTTATGTACAATAAGGTTTGAGGGGTGGGTAAAGGCCTTGCCACATTCTTTACATTGGTAAGGTTTCTCTCCAGCATGAACTTTATGATGTCCAATAAAGTATGAGTGCCAGTTAAAGGACTTGCCACTTTCTTGACATTTGTAAAGTTTTTCTCCATTAACGATTCGCCTATGTGTTTTACCACATTCTTCACATTTGTAAAGTTTCTTGCCAGTATGCATTCGCTGATGTGGAATTAATCTTGAGGGCCACTTAAAGGCTTTGCCACATTCCTTACAAATGTAACCTTTCTGACCACTATGGATTGTTTTATTTATAGATAGTTTTGATGAATGACTAAACATGTTCCCAGGTTTATTACATATGTTATGTTTTTTTCCCACATGAATCCTCTGATGGTCACCAACATTGGAGGACTGGTTAAGAATTTTCCCACATTCTTTATATTTATTTAGGTTCTCTCTCATATGTATTCTCTTATGTAAAATAAGTTTGGAGCTTTGATAAAAGACTTCCCTACATTTATTGCATTCATAATGGCTCTCTGGAGAATGAGTCCTCAGACATTTATTAATGTTTGAACCCTGGTTAAATATTTTCTCAGATTTACTGCACTGACCAATTCTGTTTTCACTGAAAATCTTGTGTTTACCTTCTAAGGTTGACTGCTCAGTGAAGTACCCGCCAAATGGATACCACTTACCACTTTTTTCTTCATATTTAAATCTCTGATTTTCAGAAATATTTGACTGAGAGCTCAATGCAATCCTATTGTCAAAATGGTACAAATAATTATTTTCAGCATGTACTTGGTCACCTGGATTTTCTACATTTTTGTTCTGCAAATATGTATGTTTGACTGTTTGATTTGAGCCTTTGACTATAGAAATACATTGCTTTCCAGAAGTGGTGGACTTTGAAAAGGTGGTTTTCCAAAATGTTTTATATCCTTCACTATTGTGGGTGATGAAAATCTTCCTATGGGCTGTTGCCTCCATTTCGATATGTGCTTCATGGCATCTCTGATGCCTTTCACCCACCCCAACACTGTTCCAGTATATTAAGTTTCCATTCGCAAGGGCACTATGTATGTATCTATCCACTGACACTCTTTGGAAAATAGTTTCCATGCACCTCTTTGGAAGGAGGCTCTGGGTATCGTTTGAAGATATACCTGAAAGGTAACGAAAGTAACATCATTCCAATTTCTACTATCAGATGAATACAATTAAAATTTCTTATACACAAAACTAAAATTAGACAACTTCAACCTCTGGAAAAAGGAGCCATTAGTTTTTCTACTTTACTCAATATATCTTAATTTAACCCAAGGATTCTATTTATAAAGTGATTGTTGGCCTATTTTACAACTTTGATGGTGTTTATTTATTCAGAAATGAAAAGTTTTGGGGGACCTCAGTGGCTCAGAGCGTTAAGCATCTGACTTCACTACAGCTCAGGTTGTCACTTGTGGCTTGTGAGTTCCAGCTCGGCATCCCGCTCTGCCCTGATAGTGTGGTGCCTGCCTGGAATTCTCTCTCTTTAAACATAATCTTAAAAAAATTAAAAAAAGGGAAAAGTTTTTATTTCCTTAATTCTAACGAATGGATTATACCCTTAAATTCTGTGTAATAGGAGGGATCTATACATTTTTAAATGTCTTTAAGTGCTTCATTCATAAAAGTTTTCATTAGAGCTTCCCACGGTTGATTTTATGAATATTTTTCATAATTTTACTGTTCATGAAGACATGCCAATAATTCAAAATGTTGCTTTTCTCATGGGAACACCTTCACAGTTTATAATTATAGCTACAGGGGTGGGAGGCAAGATGGCAGAGAAATAGGGAGCTCTGTACTTTTAGCCCACCTACATTTCTCAAAGAAGGGATGAAGACATAGGACACTGAACCACAAGAGTCTGGCAGGATGAGACAGAGTCCACAAAGAAGACAGCTTCATAGGTGCATGATTGAGAACTGGGGAAGACAAAAACAGACCGGGACCTGGAGGCAGAGGGGAAGAAGCCCTCTCCACAGAGAGACGAGGGAAAGAGAAAGAGTTGGCTGAAACTGCTCATAGCACTGTCCCTGGAGAAGAGAAAACCCTCAGACCTGACAGAGAGGGATCCTATGATCCCATGTCTAACCACAGGGCATTCAGAGAGTGATCCTAACTCTAGCTGTTGTGCTGTCTTTGGGCTGGGTGCCCCAGTCCCAGCCAGCACCAGGAGAAACTACTCCCCTGCTCCCACTACTCGACCCACAGCTAGGAAGCGGCCCATCCTGTGGGATTACATTTCAGGTGGTAGCAATAACGCATACGGACTACGATCTGAAAACGAGGCAGGGCTTGGGGCACAGAACACGGCCCACCTTGGTTACACCTATGGCAAAGAGAGATTGGACCCAAAAGAGTGATTTGCAACATTTGGTTCGAGAAGGGACTGGGGCATTGCCATTTTTCTCCCCAAAACTGCCAGGTGGGACCTCAGAGAGTGGCCCACTGACCTGCAGTGGAGGGGAGACCTGCCTACACCCAACCACACCCATCCATGATGGAGAGCTGCCCCCCCCCCCCCATTTTTTCCTGGAGCCTGGGGAAAGACCAACATTGATGCATTGCCGTGATTAACTCTAGACCAATTCTTGCTATTCAGATATATTTGCCCTTATCTCATTCTTATATCACCCCTCCCCTGGACTGGGCACTCTGGTCATTGGTTTGGTTTAACATTCACATTTAATCCACTCTCTTGATCCATATTCTACACCTCTGTCATTACCTTCCTTTTCCTCTCTCTCTCTCTGGAATAATCAGACTGTATAGTTTCTTTGGATAACATTATCTTCATTTCTTTCTCCTCACCTCCTAACATATTCTCCTCTTTCCCTCTCTCTAAGTAAAACCTTTTAGTCTCTCTGCCTTTTCAATGTTCAATTTCACTTTCTCCCCACCTGTCATTTCTCTCTTTGGATATTCTCTACATCAGCACTGCCTACACCTTGCTCTTCCTTTGTAGTTGGGATTTCTGGTTTTATGCTTTTAAGCTATCCTTTGTCTTCTGTTGTTTTTGTTTGTTGTTTTTTCCCCTTTCAGTTTGCTTGTTTGTTTAATTGGTCTGTGCATTTCTGTGCTTTTGTTCCCTGTGTGTTTGTCTGTTTTCCTTTGCAGGGCTACCTCAAGAAACAAGCCAAAGTACACATGGTGGAGAGTCCCAAATATCACTATGAGTAGGGAAATAAAATAACCAAAGGCACAACGAGAGACCAAGGGACACCATCAGAAGAACACTTCCTGAACAGACAGGACATGGACAGTCAATGAGTCTCTCTTAATATAGCAGAACTCACAGGTACAGAGCACATAACAAGCTTTTAAGACTGACAAGAGATATAAAGCTAGGCAAAATGACAAAACGGATGAACTCTCCTCTAAAGAAATTCCAGGAAGAAATGACAGCTAAAGAATTGGTCAAAACAGATATAAGCAATGTAACTGGACAAGAATTTAGAACAATAATCATAAAATTAATCGCTAGGTATGAAAATGGCATAGAAGACACCAGAGAAGCTACTGCTACAAAGACTATGGACCTTAAAAATAGTGGTGATGAATTAAAAAATGCTATAAATCAGATACATAATAAAACGAAGGCATCCACTGCACGTATTGAAGAGGCAGAGAGGAGAATAGGTGAATTAGAAGACACAATTATAGAAAAAGAAAGATAACTTGATCCAGGAGCACAAAAGGAGAATTCGAGAACTGAGAGATACAATCAAATGGAACAATATCCTTATCATAGGAATTCCACAAGAAAAGAGAGAAAAAGGGTACTTGAACAAATTATAGCTGAGAAATTCCCCAATATGGGGATCCAAGAAGGACAGAGAACTCCCCTCAGACATAACTTGAATTAATCTTCTGCATGACATATCATAGTGAAACTGACAAAATATAAGGACAAAGAGAGAATTCTGAAACCAGCTAGGGATAAAAGGGCCCTAACATACAAAGGGAAACCTATGAGTGGTGACAGACCTATCTACTGAAACTTGACAGGCCAGAAAGGAACAGCAGGAAATCTACAATGTGATTAACAGAAAAATATGCAGGCTAGAATCCTCTATCCAGCAAGCCTGTCATTCATAATAGAAGGAGATATAAAGGTTTTCCCAAATAAACAAAAATTGAAAGATTTCATCACCACTAAATGAGCCCTACGGGACATTCTAAGGAGGACTCTGTGAGGGAACTGTTGCAAGGATCACAAGGTACCAGAGTCACCACTACAAGCACAAATCTTACGGAGAACAAAATGATCCTAAACACGTATTTTTTAATAATAACACTGAAGGTAAATGGACTAAATGCTTCAATCAAAAGACATAGGGTATCAGGATGGATACAAAAACAAGATCCATCTATTTGCTGTCTACAAGAGACTATTTTAGAACTGAGGACACCTTCAGATTAAAAGTAAGGGGATGGAGAAATACCTATCATGCTACTGGAAGTCAAAAGAAAGCTGGAGTAGCTATACTTAAATCGGACAAACTGGACTTTAAAGTAAACGCAGGAACAAGGGATGAAGAAGGGCATTATATAATAATTACAGGGTCTATCCATCAGGAAGAGCTAACAATTATAAACATCTATGCACTTAATATTGGGAAGCACCCAAAAACATAAAACAATCACAAACAGAAACAATCTTATGGATAAGAATGAGCTAACACCAGGGGAATTTAATACTGCACTTACAACAATGAATAGATCAACTAGACAGAAAATCACTAAAGAAACAATGGACCTGAATGACACATTGCACCACATGGATTTGACAGATATATTTAGAACTCTACATCCTGAGGCTATGGAATTCACTTTGTTCTCAAGTGCACATGGCACATTCTCCAAGATGGATCACATACTGGGTCATAAAGCAGCCCTCAAGAAATATAAAAGAATTCAGATCATACCATGCACCCTTTCAGATCAAAATGCTATGAAACTTGAAATCAATCACAGGAAGAAGTCTGGAAAACCTCCAAAAACATGGAGGTTAAAGAACACTCTGCTAAACAACGAACGGGCCAATCAGGCAATTAGAGAAGAACTTAAAAAATATATGGAAACGAATGAAAATGAAAATACAATAATCCAAACTCTTTAGGATGTGGAAAAGGCAGTCCTAAGAGGAAAATACATCGCACTCTAGGCCTATTTCAAGAAATTAGAAAAAGCACAAATACAAAATCTAACAGCACACACAAGGAACTAGAAGCAGAGCAGCAAGAACAACCCAAACCCAGCATAAGAAGAGAAATAATAAAGATCAGGGCAGAAATAAACAATATAGAATTCCCCCCCCCAAAAAAAACCCCACAGTTTAACAGATCAATGAAACCAAGAGTTGTTTTTTTGAAAAAATAAACAAAATGATAAACCTCTAGGCCGGCTCTCAAAAAGAAAAGAGAAAGCACCCAAATAGAGAAAATGATGAATGAAAATGGATTTATTACAACCAATCCCTCAGAGATACAAGCAATTATTAGGGAATAATACAAAAAATTATATGCCAACCAACTGGACAACCTAGAAGAAATGGAAAAATTCCTAAACACACAAGCACTACCAAAATTCAAATGTGAAGAGATAGAAAATCTGAACAGACCCATAACTAGTGAAGAAATTGAATCAGTTATCAAAAATCTCCCAAATAAGAACCCTGGGCCAGATTGATTCCCTGGGGAATTCTACCAGACATTTAAATCAAAGTTAATACCCATTCATCTCAAACTGGTCCAAAAAATAGAAATGGAAGGAAAACTTTTGGGGTCAATCTACAAAGCCAGCATCACTTTGATTCCCAAACCAGAGATCCAGCAAAAAAAGATAACTACAGGCCAATATCTCTGATGAATACAGAT